GATGATGTTTTGTGGCTCAGGCCAACGTACATGCCTGTTTTGGCTCTGGAAGGCTACAGGGCAGCGGGCCAGGGGTGATCAGCCCCAAGGCTACTCTGGGGAAAGGAGATAGACCAAGGGGTGCAGGAAGCAGATATGGAAGCCACACCCAAAAGCAGGGTCTGTGTCTGTCAGGGAACTTGGAACCTTGGACCTGCAGACCTGTGAGAACCTGATAGCAGGAGAAAAACCTGCACCTTCCTGCACCTTGTGTTCTGGGCCTCCCCTTCACTTGAGCAAGATTGTGGAGGCCAGTAACCCAAACTCAAATTGCTGGCAGGCCTGTGCGCCCTCCAAGGGCCTCAGAGGAGGGTCCTTCCTGGTTTTTTTTTCCAGCTTTGAGTGATGGCTGGCAGTCCTCAGCTCGTAGATGCAGCACTCTAGTCTCTGCCTCATATTCCTGTGGTTGTCCCCTTGTGTTTGTGTCTAAATCTCCCTCTTCCTTTAAGGACACTAGTAGCTGGACTGGAGCCCACCCTACTCCAGTGTGACCTCACCTTAACTTGATTCTGTCCGCAAAGACCCAGTTTCCAAACAAGGTCCCATTTCCAGGTATCAGATGTCTGGATGTGGGCATGCCATTCTGCGGAACACAGTAGAATCCATAGCAGTTCTATTACTAATCTCAGCTTGGGCATCCAGCCTGGCCTTCTGTCCCAGCCCAGGTGGAATGAGAGACTTCCTCCTGGCTCTGGTCACCTGTTCTCTTTCTGCACCCACTGCAGAACCCGGGAACAATATATTGAATGTTTACTGGACCCCATCACCCCTCTGGACTTCTTGTTTGTCAAAATGTGAACCTCACCCTGGCTGGTGTAGCTCAGTGGATTAAGCGCGGACTGGGAACCAAAGTGTCCCAGGTTCGATACCCAGCCAGGGTACATGCCTGGGTTGCAGGCCATAACCCCCAGCAACCGCACATTGATGTTTCTCTCTCTCTGTCTATCTCCCTCCCTTCCCCTCTAAAAAATAAACAAAGAAAAAATATTTTAAAAAAAATAAGTAAATAAAATCTTTAAAAAATTTAGAAAAAAAAAAGCGAACCTCTGCTTAAAAGGGGCAAAATAAATAAGAATCAAATGACACTCTCCACAAGCGAGACCAGAGAGAGGATACAATTTTTAGCAGTGTGGGTGGGGGATGAGCACAAAATTGAAAATTGCCCACAAAACTCAGTAAATGAGATCAATATTTAATGCAATTTTCAAACCTTTTTAAAGTTGCCATTTACATTGAGATCATTGTAAATTCACATGCAGTTGCAAGAATTAACACAGAGCCCTGACTGGTGTGGCTCAGTGGATTGAGCGGCGGCCTGCGAACCAAAAGGTCACTGGTTTGATTCCCAGCTAGGGCACTTGTTTGGGTTGCAGGCCAGGTACCCTGTAGAGGGTAGGCAAGAGGCAACCACACATTGGTGTTTCTCTCCCTTTCTTTCTCCCCCCTTCTCCTATCTCTAAAAATAAATTAATAAATAAAGTCCTTTTTAAAAAAGAAAAAGAAGAACTAATATGGAAAATACAGTGTACCCTTCACCCAGTTTTCCCCAATGCTAACTGGCACAAAACATAGGGAAAACATTAGTAAATATCATGGCCAAGAGATTGACATTGACACAAACACAATACACCAATCTTATTCAGATAACTCCAGTTTTCCTTATACCCATTATATGTTTGTGTGCATTAAATTCTGTACAGTGTTGTTACTGTGTAAGTTCCTGTGTCCACACCACAGTGATAATATAAAAATAGTGCCAACACCACAAATGTGGCAAGCTGTAGAATGCCTTCCAAAGGATGTCCATGCTTGCATCCCCGGAACCTGTGAATATGTTATTTTACACAATATAAAAGGGATTTTGCAGGTGGGATTGAGTCAAGGACCCTAAAATGGAGATGGAGTGATCCTGGATTACTCAGGGGACCGAGTGTCATCACAGGGTCCCCATAAGAGGGAGGCAGGAGGGTCAGAGTCAGAGATGGAAGAGGCTATGCTGCTGGCTGTGAGGACAGAGGAAGGGGCCACAAGTCAGGGATGCTGTGCCTCTAGAAGCTGGAAGAGGCTGGAAATGGTTCTCCTTGCAGCCTCTGGAAGGACCAGCCCTATACACGCCTGGGTTTAGCTCCATTAGTCCCTTGTCTGATTCCTGACTTCCAGAGGAAAGATAGTAAATTTGTGTCATTTAAAGCTAAGTTTATGGTTATTCGTTATAGTGGCAATCAGAAATGAATGCACAATTATCTCCTGTGCTGTTATTTTATATGTAACACATCTCTCCCTCATCAATACAGTATTTTCAGTAATTCAAAATTAACGCAAAAGCCCCATACTTTTAAATAAAGACAGGATCCACCTTGGCCTGTGCATAACTCTCACCCCAGCGCTGTACAATTCTGTCTTTATTAAGAATAAAACAACCAAGTCAGATGGCAGAGGTGAGATTCTAATTCAGATCAAATTCACTCAGTTTCTTTTGCTCCCTGGGTGTGCATCAAGTTTCATCTGAAACGAAAGGGAGAAGTATTATGGATTTGGTCACTTTTTCATCACCATCAGAATTTTTTTCTAAAGTATAGTGCATCTAAATCATTTTGTTTGGTTCTACACCTCATGTTTTAGCTGGAATGTTGATAATTTGGGTTTAGGGTGAGGAGCAGTAAATATTAGACACATGTTTACTGAGTCTGGTACTGAGCCTGAGGAAGGAGATAAATCAGACCTAAACTGGAGGGGCAGATAGTCCAGCGGTTTCTTCATTGGACATTTGTTGATCTCCTAGCCTGTGCCTGGCACTGCCCTGGACCTTGTTTGTCCAACAGGATTTTCTACAGTAGACATATTCTGTATCTGTACCATCCAATTCGGTAACTACTGTCTAGCTGTGGCTACAGAGCATTTGAAATGTGGCCACTACAGAATTGAGTCTTTAACTGTTAAAGTTTTAAGTACTTTAAATGGAAATGGAAAAAATCTGACATTCAGTTCAGTTTTGGAAAACTCTTAAGCATTCTTGCAACACCCAGGGTCTGTGAATCTATGTTTCCACTGTAAAATTTTATAAAGCATAAATAGAGATCAAGTATTTCCAGTGAAAATTAGCACCCAAATTGCAATAAGCTGTAAATATACAATACACAATGAATTTTAAGACCCCGTAGGAGAAAAGTAACATAAAATATCTCATTGATAATTGTTGATTTTTATTTCATGTTGACATTTGAGTTGATAAAATATGTTATTAAAATTGATGATACTGGTTTCTTCGTATTTTTTAAATGTGGTTACTTGCAAATTTTTAATTATTTATGTGGCTCATGTTATGCTTCTATTGGAAGGCATTTTTCTAAATCCTACAGTGGTTGTGGGGTTCCCTGAAATCAGATAAATGAGTATTTATGTTATGTAATTTCATACCAGATGAACAGAAGTTATGCACCACGGTGCACTCTGTCCTCTCTGGTCTTTGCCCAGAGGTCATCATTGCAGTGAGACCTTCCCCCATCACCATATTTGAAACTATAACCCTTTACTCTCCCTTTCCTGTCTTTATTATTCTCCATAATTCAGGTCCAACAGAAAGGATTTTTTTTTACAACAGCTTCATTGAGATATAATTCACATACTATAAAACTGACTAATTTAAAGTGTATAATCCAGTGAGGTATAATATATTCAGAGTGGTGCAACCATCACCACACAATTTTAGAACATTTTCATCACCCCAAAAAAGAAGTCCCTAAAAACCACTCTCCTCCCCATCCCACTGCCCCTGACAACCACAAATCCACTTCCTATCCTAGAACAAGATTTGCCTGTTTTTGACATTTCGTGTATATGGAATCACATACTGTGTGGCCTTTAGTGTATGGCTTCTCTCACTGAGCATCGCGTTTTCAGGCTCATTCACTTTGCAGCAAGTGTCAGTGCTTCACTCCTTTTTATTGCCAAACAATATGCCATGATATGGACGTGATACATTCTGTTTATCCATTAATTCGTTCAATCGTTGATGGGCTATTTGCAGTCTGGTCTATTATGCATAATGATGCTATGAACATCCGTGTACAAATATTTCTGTGGACACATCTTTAATTTTCTTTGCTATCTATATACCTAGAAGTGGAATTGCTGGGTCATATAGTCACTCTATGTTTACCTTTTTGAGGAACCTCACCAGGCTGTTTTCCACGGTGGCTGCAAAATTTTCCATCCCTACCAGCCATGTGTGAGGGTTCCAGTTGTTTCACGTCTTGGCCAACACTTGCTAACACTTGTTATACTCTGGGGTGGGGGAGGGTCCTTTTTTTTATCATTGTCACCCTAATACGCATGAATTGGTATCGCACTGTGGTTTTGATTTGCATTTCCCTAACGACTAATGCTGGTGAGCAAGGATCTTTTCATGTGCTTATGGGCTATTTATTTATTTTCTTTGGAGAATTGCCTGTTGGGATCCTTTACCCATTTTTGGAGCAGAGATTTTATCTGTAGAGTTCCCTGCTTGGCGGGCCTGGCGGAGCACTCAGTAGAAGCAATGTGTTTATTGAATGAAACATGAAACGTCCGTAGGTAACAGGGTTTGGGGTCCGGCGTATACACCTGTCATTGGGTCCATCCCTGGTGTGACTGCCTCATTGCCGTGTGGGTTTAGCTTCCATCCAACCTATGGAGGCCCTGGCCTTGAGCGCGGGTTTCTGCGACCACCCCGCTACTAAGAACCACGCCCTAAACTAAGCAGAGGCTTTTTTCTATATTCCCGGGAGCCACCTCCAGCCAGCCCCAGGTCCTCTACCCGCCGCGGTTGCCCTTGGCAACGCGTGGCCCCGCGCTTCCTGTATTGATTCGAATCGCGGGCCACGTCACGTCCTCCCGCGATGCCCATCGCACGCAGGCGCAGTCCCGTAAGGAGGGAGTGGCCCGGGCGCGCGGGGGCGTGGCGGCGGCACGCAGCGCGCCGGCGCGGGGGCGTGGCCGGCCGCGGGAGCGCGCACGGCTGTGGAGGGCGCGGGAGGCCGCGGAGCCGCGATAGCCGCCATATTAAGGAGCGCGGAACCGGGGACCCCTCAGTGGCGGCCGCAGCCGGACCCAGGGGGGCTGCGGACAGTGGAGGCGGCGCGGCGCGGCACGGCGCCGGAAGAGGCGGGGCCGACGGAGCCGGCGGGTGACGGGAGCGAGCCAGGTGAGGTGGCCGGAATCTGGGGACCCGCCCCCCCCCCCCCGGGCCCAAGCCGCGTCCCCCGAGACGGGCCGGACGGCGGCACGGACCAACCCAGAGCCCCCTGGAACTGAGCCGACCGGCCATGCTGCGACCCCCAACGTAGGGCCGTCCAGGAGGCTGCAGGACCCCCGAACGTCGCCCCTTAAGTTAAGCTAGGCCAAGTGTGATCTCAGCATCCTACTACCGTCTTAACTCCCAAATCCTAGCTTCACCCCCAAACACGGCCCTGAGTGATCTCTCCAACCCGGGCCACCTGCAGCCCTCTACTCCACAACCCTTTTATAAACATGGGACCAAGTCCTGCCCCCCAAAGCCAAAAACGAGGGAAAGTCTCCTATCCCACGCCCAGAACAGTGGGCCCATGCCCTGATCTGTACTATTCATCTCTGGCTTGTCAAACCCGGGTCTTCCAAGTTCCTACTATCCCAGCCCAAATTTAAACAGTCCCCCATAGCTGTTGCGACTCACCCAGGTTCGAACCAGCCCTCGCCCCACTAAAATTCAGTCTGAGCTTTATGGACCCTGAATTAAGCAGGCTGAGGTGTGGAGACCCTGTCTGTCTGGGCGCCCGTTGTATTCACCGCACCCCTCTCCGCTCCTGACACACAGAAGCACTTGGGCAATGCTGTTTGAATGCGTAAGTGCTTCTCGCACTCCCAGCTCCTCTGTTTTCTAATCCTCTACACTTCCAGCTTGACCCATTGCAGCCACCCAGAATCAAGCTCTCCCATTTTGGCTCTGACCCCACAAAAATCTAAGGTGACCTGCCTGTGCCCAACTGCTCTGAGATCCAGACAGGTCTGTCTCTTCCTGCAAGCACAAGTCAGCCACCCCAGGCCCCCCACAACTCCCAGCCCTGCGCCAAGGGTGGACTGCCTTTCCTTACTCCAGCTGTTTTCTCCTATTAAAAACTGTGCCCCGCCCGACCCCTGCATTGGTCTTGCACCATCTAGACCCGTCCCCAATCCAGTGCCTGAGACTCACCACTGCAAATGTCCAGCTTAAGCCTGTTTTTCCCTCAAATCATCCTTTTGTTCAGGGTGCTTTGCAGGCTGGGAACTAGATCCCCTTATCCCAGTCTACCAGGAGGTGTTCTCATGCCTCTTGCTGGTGAGGCTGTATCTGCCCTTTACCACCACCACCCAATCTTAATATAGGTGTTGTTTTTATAGTTGACATACAGTATCATTACTAGTTTCAGGTATACAACATAGTGATTAGACATTCGTATACCTTGTGATCTCCCCATATCTGAGTCTCCTTCCCAAACCCGGCCCTGCATGACCTCCCCAACCTGAGCCATCTACAACTCATGACCTCCCGCCCCCTTCCCACACTTACCCTCCACAAATGTTCAGCAAATACCGGGTTGACCAAAAAATCTGTTGTTTTTTTTTCCGTACAATGGGTCTAGGAGTGCTTAGTTTTATTTCATTTGAAACAATTTTGTTGGATTATATTGTGACAGCTGTTATATGCATTTTTAAAAAGCTTAGCAAAATTGGTGAATTTTTGTGCAGCCATTTTAATATTGAATATGGAAGAAAATATGCAACATTTTTTTGGTGTATTATGCTTTATTATTTCAAGAAAGGCAAAAATGCAACTGAAACACACAGAAAGATTTGTGCAGTGTGTGGAGGAGGTGCTGTGACTGATAGAACGTGTCAAAAGTGGTTTGTGAAGTTTCTTGGTACCATTGACAACATTTTGGCTGGGTAATTTTTTGCTGTGTGGCTGTCTTATGCATTAGAAGATGTTTAGCAGCATCCCTGGTCTCTAACCACTAGAAGCTGATAATGGAAGATAGCCAACATACTCAAATATCCAAATCAATAGTTATTGGTAAAAACGAAAAATATGCCTTTATGGAAAAAACATAATGGACTTTTTGGCCTACCCAATAGCAGGTCTAGCTTTGTTCGCCAAAACCAGCCCCCGCCCCATGCCCTAATCTGTGCTTTTAGGAACTAGCCAAATCTAGTACCTATATGGCACCACCCATAGTTATTACAATATTGTTAACTATATTCCTTATGCTGTATGTTACACTGTTACTATTTTTATAACTGGTAATTTGTGGTTCTTAATCTCTACGGTTTCTTACCACACTTTAAATGAGGACTATTCACCTAAAGAAAAATCATCCACCTAGCATACATACCCCAACCTCCCTGGAGTGGAGACAGGTGTGAGGAACTTTGAAAAGAAGGCGGTTGGGTGGTGTCCCCTGGAGGTGGGAGCAGGATTTGGATGGTGGAAGCTGATGAGATCCTCTGGGGATGGTTGCTAGAGTGGTACATTGTCCCCTAGAATACATCCTAGACTACTCATTGGACAGAATTTCTCCCGGGCCATCAGGGCCTTTGATGTCGAGGGTCCCTTCTGTGTTGGCCGTAGTGTACTGGCATTTCCTTCTGAATCAAGAGTGGGAGCAGGTGTGCTGGCCACTGCCTGCTTTGTGAAACATGTGAGGTTGGATTGCCCCAGGAGGGTTTTGTTAAGGAGTCCGGCCCTCCGCCTGCCTAAACCAGGGCTCCAGGCCTTGGACAGCTTGGGCCAGTGTCTCAGTTGTCTGTGCTGGACAGTCCCGACACCCCTTCTCGCCCCGCTCTATAACTCAGACCCCATGTGCTGACTGATGGTGGTGGGGGTTGGGGCTGGGGGAGGAGTAATTGGAAATAAACAGGAAAACCTAATGAGTCTTCAGAAGTGGGTCTGCACTGATTTCACGCCATCTCCTCTGTCTCAGCAGAACCCACCCACCAGTGCTAATTATTGGGACCTCTGTCAGGCAGGTTTTGTACACTTGGCACTCCTGAGTTTGGGGAGGTCCAAAGTGGGTTTAGTTGTAGGGACCTTTTGCTCAGTGCCACTGAGAAGGATGAAGATCCAAAGTCACTCTCTCTGGAGGGCCAACTTGGGGATTTCTGGTTGATGTTGAGATCAAGGGACTTGGTCTTTTAGGAACTGGCCAAACTGCAGGTCCCCTGTAGTTTTTCTTGAGAGCAGAGGTTCTCAACTGGGGACATCTGTCACGCAGGGGGTGCACATCACAGTGAGTGACCTGGCCTCAGCGTCAGCAGCACTGATGGGGGAGACCCTGGACTAGAGTCCAGACTATGAGTCCTGGAAGGGCAGAGACTTCGTCTCCGGAGCCTGCACAGTGCCCTCTAGAGGCTGGAGCTGGAACCCATGGCTTGAGTGGGTGCTAAGGACCAGACCCATTCTGGGGTTGGTACAGGCAGCCCACAGAGCTGGGAAAGGAGTGTTTGGTGGCCCCTCTTCTGCCCTGAGAGTTCCTTGTGGTCTGGTTTCTGTCAAGTCACCAGCCTCAGCGGCCCCCTGCTCATCAGCTCCACTGGTAATGGCCCTGTCCATCCCTCACTCGATCTCCCTGAGGGTCGGGCCACTTCAGCTCCTGCCCATGCCTGCAGACAGGAGCTGGGCAAGTCCCGCAGCTCCTCATCCAGTGCAGACCTCTCTTGAGCACTGGGACTGAGCACATGGCCAGAGCTCCCCCTTATGTGGCACTTTTGCCAGAACACTTGTGCTCTTGACTGACTCGGGTGAGTGGCTACTTTCTCCTGCCCCAGTTTCCTCACGTGTGACTGGAACGACAGGACACACTGCGCATTGCGTCATTCAAGCAGTACATGTAGTAAGTGGTGCCCCTGCCCAAATAAAGTAGAGTGTAGAACCCACTCTCCTGGCTCTCTGTGCATTCTCTCTGTCCTCCTATCTCTTTCACGGGCCCTGCTTTTTATTATGTTATTAATTTGTGTTAGCAACAGCTTTATTCAGATACAATTCTCATGCCATACAACCCACTCATTTAAAGTGTACAATTTGTGGTTTTCAGTATGTTCATAAATTTGTATACCCGTCACCACTATCTAGTTCCAGAACATTCTTATCCCAAAAAGAAACCCCTTCCCCACTGACAGTCACTCCCCATCCCCCTTTCCCCTGCCTCTGACAACCACAGACCCACTTTCTGTCTCTGTCAACATGCCTGTTCTGGACATTTCACATAAATGGAATCACACGTGTCTGGCTCCTGTTACTGAACATCATGTTTTCAGGGTTGTAATGAGTCAGCGCTTTGTCCCTTTTCATAGCTGAATAATATTCCAGTGTGCAGCTGCATTTTGTTTAATGTTTGAACTGCTTCCACCTTTTGCCTGTTGTGGATGGAGTTGCTACAAACAGTCAGGAACAGGTTCTTGTGTGGTGGCTCTGACTGATCTGGACTCAGATACCGCTGCTCCTGGGCATATGCTCCTCAGTGGCCTCCCCCTCACCCTCAGCTTTCTGTTCTTGCTGCTGGTGCCCAAAGCTGACTCCTGGACTCTAGGTCTACGCAGCCAGTGACCAGTTATCATCTCCTGAATGTCCATCTCCCCTCCGCACCTCAGGTTGAGTGTGTCCAGAAGAGGTCACCCTTTCCTCAGATCTGTCCAACCCCTCCTCCCTTATAACCCTAGCCTCACAAGGGGCCCCTTCTCTCCACAACCTCCATCTTCTCAGGACTGCCTCCTTTCTCACGTGGACAGGCAGGCACCAGCTCGCTGGCTCCCCTGCTCACCACCTCTCTCCCTGGCATCTACACTACACCACTGCCAGCCTCTAAACCCATATCTGATTGTGGTTGACCCCTTGTCCCTTTCCCACCTCCAGCCGCCAGCCCTAGGAGACTGCCCTTGTGGCCTTCCCACTTGTCCATCCCTCTTCCAGCCCCACACGTTCCGTGCCCCAACCTCCCCAGACTGCTGCTATAGGGTTCTATAAAGCTGCAGGCCATTCCTTCCGGACCCCGTGCCTTTTTATGCGTGCTCTTCCTAGATCAGATGGATCTGGGAACCACTGCTTTGTGACTCTCAGGGAGGTCTTTTCCCTACGGGGCCTGTCAGCCACTGCAGAAAGGACCAGGGTGCATTTGTGCTGTCTCTCACAATAAG